ACATAATCACAAACCTGGTTTCTTCAAGGAGAGTGAAACAAAGTCCCTCTTGAAATAAGGTGATCCTCAATAATTTATCTTCTTACATTTCTTAAGCCTCACCTCTAGAAACGGTTCAGGCTGACTATCTAAATAATTTTTTATCATTGTAATTTAGAATGTAACTCAGAGAGGATTTCATTTTTTTTTCTCCATAACTCGGGTTACTAAAAGACAAAAAAATAAGACGATTTTTTCTTTCACTAAGATAAATTTTTTTTAATAAAGATTATCCTTTTGTTTTCTAACATGTTAAAGAGCATGATGACTCCTTATAAGTATCATCTGTTATTGCTTTGGTGTTTTTGGAGCTGTTTTTTTAAATATAATTATTATTATTTCTTTTCATTTTTTTTTTTGTCTGTGCGGGGATGGATGCCCAAGTATCATTTGCATTTCATGCTGAAAGGAAGCTAAATCCAAACAAGTTTAAAAATCAGTTAGTTAATTAGGTGATGATGCATTATCTAGACCATTTGATGGCCTTCTTAAGTTTCACAATACTACTCTATTTGGTTTTGAATTTTCAAAACTCATCTTGCTGAATTAGTATAGCATTTATTTTTATGAGTTATTAATTTATATTCAAAAGAAATAAGTCAATAAATTAATTTTTCATAAACCACTCCATAAAACCATATATCTAAGCCATGGTGCCCTGAACTGATGCAACATTATTGTTGTATCTCTAAAGAATGGTTCTCTGCACAATTTCCACCATCATTCTGAGTATTAGGCAGCATTTTATCCTGTATTAATTCAAATTATGTTTTCTTAATATTTAATTTCTCCCTTAGAAAATGAAATTCTTTAATATCCTTGAAGTTGTGGATGTATGCTAGCTTCAAGTTTGTGGATATAAGTTAGTTATCCGAGAATAACCATATGACAAAACTTGAAAGTCATTTATGTCTATTTGTTATACTTAGTTACTAATTATTACTACTAATGGATGCAAATATAGTAGGTAGTTGAATCTTGATTGTTCCCTTAGCCATTAATATGAGATTTTGAGTGGTTAAAAAATATAAGCATTTTGATGTGTTCATGGCATCATAAATATGGAAGTGCATTTTAGATTTGCTTTTGCTTATGTATTCATATGGACTGGTATTTACCACACAAAGAAGCAAAACACAAGGTGTAAAAGGTCATGTCTACCATTAGCAAACTAGGCAAACTAGTTCTCTAAGAAATTTAAAATTCGAGGTGTTGATGCCCCAAAATCACCAAACGGCGTCGATTTGGCATGAAACTTGGCACACACAACCGCTTAGGCACGAGAGACTTGTGGGAGAAGACGGGGCTTGAATCAGGTTCCCGGTTTGGGAGTTAGAGCCGGATTTCTATCTAGCTAAAATTATTTACTTAATTATCTTTGTAATTATATAGTAGTTAATTTTTAATTTTTTTTGTAATTAAAATATTAACACATAATTATATTGTCATTAGTTATTTTTATTTTTTGTTTTCAGATATTTCCTCAGTAGCAGTTTGCTTCTTGTGAAATGCAGGGTGCGATTAATTTTTTTTTTGTTACCCACGAAAGAATCATGACGAAAACTTTTGTTTTTGACTTACGTTATTTTGAATTGTGAACAATTTTAGATATTTAAACATTGTATATGTATTATGCAACATTATGTAGTGGGATAATTTTGCTGATGTATTGTTATGAATGGAAGAATATTTTTATTATGGATGAATTGTTATTTTTATACCGAAATTTTTATATTATTATGTAATTATCGGTTCATTTTTCAGTTATTTTTCATTTAATACAGGTAGTTTTTGTATTTTTTATAATTTTATTGCAGTTTTTTTTTTTTTTTTTTTTTTTAAGACGGCATTACACCGTCTCAAAAAACATTAGAACCAGATTGTTTTTGCGACATAAGCAATGCTGTCGCAAAAGATATTTGCAAAAATTGAAAAAAACCTTTCACGACGGTTATTTGCCGTCGCAAATAACCTTTTACAGACAACGTCATTATGCTGTTTCAAATAAACTTTTAGCGACGGCAGGTTACCCGTCACAATAAAACACTTTCGCGACGTCATTTTTGCCGTTGCAAATAACACTTTTAGCGACGGCAACATAGCGCCGTCTCAAAAAATCTCAGATTTTTATATATTAATGGCGACGGCAGAATTTCGTCGCAAAAATGCAACTTTGCCATAGCAAAAAAGAGGCGACGGCATTGTGCCGTCGCTAAAACTTTTTAGCAATGCCCTTTGTTGCGATCCCCACTTGCCGTCACTAAAAGTCATCTGTCATCGCAAAAAAACTTTTGAGACGACATTTGGAGTATTTGCGACTGCATTTTGCCGTCGCAAAAAGTCAAATTTTTTGTAGTGTTATTAGTTGTTGAGAAAGCTTAAGGACGCCTAATATTTTCACAAAAAAAGTCATAAATTTGAAATAAAAAATGAGCCTCACAATTTTGTATCATGTCTGTAGACTTAGAACATCTCCACTTAAATTGTCAATTTTAAAATGACAGTTTTTATTATAAAATTTGACATCTAATTATACTCCATTTGAATCTCTGAAAATGAGTTGTCAATTTGACAAGTCTTAGTAATGTCAGATGTCAAATATTTTTGTTTTCATTATTTAAATAGAAGGAATCAATGAAAGAATTCAAAAAAAATATTAAAACAAAAAAGAATTAAAGTAAATATAATAAAATAATAAATTTAGCACATCAGATAAAATGTAACTTTCTAGACATGTCAAGTTTGTATATACTTAGGCTAAGTTTGGCATAACCTAAATAATACAAAAAGTCAAAAAGTCGCTATCCTATTTAAGTCACATCATCTTATTTAAATCACATCACCTCTCTAACACATCATATCAAACCCAACCTAAACCCAACCCATATAAGCCAATAAGTCAAAAAGTGCACTTTTTTAAAACATTCCAAACCAACCCTTAAAACCTTCAAAAAAAAAAATTTGGCGTACAAAATTTTGAAGATTTGGGTTTTGTTACAAATTGATAAAGGGCGAAAACAAAAAGTTATTTTGGTGACTTTGGTTCATGGGCTTGTACAATGGCCCATGGATGGTGCCCACCCACGGCTCACGTTAGCTGCATGCACATCCTTAACCTGAGATTATAGGCGTTTTTAGCAATTCAATCTTTTGGTTTAAAAATTAAAAAGATCAAGAGAGTTTTTTTTTAAAATATTTAAAAAAAAATTAGGGAATTGATTCACTTTTTAAATTATTTGAGAAACTAACTTATTTTTTGAAAATATAATTTTAAATTATATTTTCAACATACAATTTTAACTTCAAATCGCATATTAAAAATACAATTTTATGATGACATGGACTTTACTAATATATATTACATTTTCAACATGCAATTTCAATCGCATGTTGAAAATGTAATTTTCAATTCAAAATTACATTTTCAAAATGTGATTTCAAAAAGTAGGTTAATTTTCTAAATAATTTTAAAAGTAAATCAATTCTCTAAATTATTTGTTTTTTTAGAATATTTATAATAAAAAAAACACCATATCAAGGAGGTTAAATTTTTTGGAGATTGACTAATAAGTCCCATATTTTGGACTTGTAATTCATATAGTCTTATATTTTTTTTCTTGTGATCCATTTAGTCATTTTGGATATGTAATGACTCATTTGTCTGCCATATTGGAATGTCACATTTAGAAAAAAATACACTAAAGAGTTATTTAGTGTCACATAATACCCGTCACATTTAAGTGTCATATTTGAAAAAAGTACACTAAATAATTTTTAATTTTTTTAGAGTGCCACATCATACCCGCCACGTTGAAATGTTACATGTCATGTTTGGAAAAAGTACACTAAGGAATTTTTAATTTTTTTTAGAGTGTCACATCATATCCGTCACGTTGTCACGTTTGAGAAAAGTATACTAAGGAATTTTTTTTATTATTTTAAAGTATTACATCATTCCCGCCACATTGTCACATTAGGAAAAAGTACAGTAAAGATTTTTATTTTTTTTGAAGTGTCACATCATACCTGTCACGTTGTCATGTTTGAAAAAAAGTACACTAAAGAGTTTTTATTTTTTTTTAAAGTATCACATTATACCTATCACATTATCACATTTGAGAAATGTACACTAATGAGTTTTTATTTTTTTGAAATGTCACATCATATCTGTCACGTTGTCACGTTTGAAAGAAGTACACTAATGAGTTTTTACTTTTTTCGAAGTGTCAAATCATACATGTCACATTAGAAAAAAGGACACTAAAAAGTTTTTATTTTTTTTAGAGTAAAAGTCTTAGAGTTTCACATCATACCCGTCGCGTTGCCACATTTAGAGAAAGTACACTAAGGAGTTTTAATTTTTTTTGAAGTGTCACATTAATACCTACCACATTATAATATTATATCATACTTATCACATTAATAAAAGAGTGGTGATTTAAAGCACTAAATTTAAAACTCTAAAAATATCACTAATGAGGTGGCAATATAAAAATAAATAAAATAAAGACCAAACTATCACGTCAATGGTGGAGTCCACATGATGCCACATCATTAGTGGTGCTAAATTAGTGGTATGAAACATTTTTCTTAATAAAATGGTATAACTATCTATTAAAATACTACCAAAATAAAAAATAGGATTACATGGGAAAAAAATTCTTCACTAATAAAACTTAACAGATCAATAAAAAAAATTTGAGACTAATTAGAGTACTTATTTGTGAGATGAGATTTATTGATAAATATTCATAATTTTTTTTCTTTCTATTTTTATATATTTTTTTATAAAAAAATTAAAAAATTATTAAAATAAGACCTAAATATATATTTTTTAATTTCCTTCCCATGTTTACCCTAAAATTAACAATTCTTTCTCTGTCTCTAACGCGCGAAGTTTCTGGAAGGTACGTTGCACACCGATCGTTTGTTAAATAAATTAAATTCTGAATTTTTCGGCCCTATGTTCTTCACATGCTCTGTTAAATTTCTGCTTCTCTCGCTCTCATCTCTCTCTTTGTTCTCTAGAAATTTGAGTGCGTGAGAGAGAGAGAGAGAGAGAGAGAGAGAGAGTTGCGGTTTGATTTGGTTGATTCCGAAAATTTCTTCCAAGATTCGACCTAGGTAATTTAGATCGTTCATGTCTTGAATCGTATAGAATTTTTTTTTTTTCTTCCTGATCTGGATTTTTCCTTTTATGTTTTTTTGTGGATACATATACTCAAAGAAGAAAACAAAACGCATGTATACTATTCTGATTGATGGGTTTTAGTTTTTTCATTGCATTTGCTAAGTGGTGGCTTGAGGAATTTTTGTTAGGATAGACTTTGTTTTTGTCAATCAATAGAAGGTAAATTACAAATATTTGTGAAAATTAAATGAAATCGAATATTCAATTATGTAAGAAAGTCTAGTAGCAGCACGCAATCACAAATATACAACAAATCCAAGAAACATAACACATAGGTGAAGAGAATCGGACCTATAACCTACGAGTGGGTTGCATGAACTCTTGGTTAATGGGCTAACTTTGTAGACATTAAAATATTCAAGTTCTACAAATTATGTGAAAGAAATGATATATCTATTCCAATAAATGTACTTGGTTCTAATGTGCAAAGAAATTGATGAAAGATGAAAGCACAATGTCAAATATTGGGTCCAATAATTAAAAAAAAAAAAAAAAAACTATGGAAGTTAGTAAGAAAACAAAACTTTATTTTTTGGGGTGGAGTGGGTTAGATGTAAAAATGCTTTTCAAAATTTTGTTGAAGTGGCTTCAAACCAATAGATCATGGAGTTATTTATTTGCTTAGTGGAGCCGTTTCTTATAGACCAAGGCAAATTAAAAACCAAATGCATGAATGGTCATTTATGTAAATGGTATTTCAAATGTAAAACTAAGTACTACAATTTCAAGCACTTCCTCTTTGTTGATGGTATCATTTGGCTTGTCTATTATCATTTGGCTACTGAACCCATGAGTAAATATGTATTACAATATCTCTCCCATTCCTTTACTGAAAGATTGCTCTTGAAGTAGAAATAGTCCATTTTTATAATATCAGATAAACTGTTAGCGAAAGAGTTGCAGTGGGGTTTTATTAATTGGAGCATGTGAATCCATAGAATAATACCAATTAAGTTTTCAAACTTGATATTATCTTTTTAAAGTGAATTTTTTATTAGAATCAGTACAGTTATTTAGCCACATAGGAGAATAGAGAATGAATTTTATTTTATACTTGCTGGTTTTACAATCTTGCATATTATCATTTCCAATGTCATCATTGCCTTCTTTGCCTTTGAGGGATATTCTAATTTTAGAAGATGAGGTTTTAACATGCTCATTTATGTGCAATATAGCTTTGAATAAATAAAAGTGGCATGAAATGAAAAAAAAATTCCACCTTGAAAACCTTTATGAATCTTATTTAATTTAGTTTGCAAAGTTGTTATTTTGAATTGCATTGAAATGAGTCTCTTGTTACATGTAAAGCCTTGGACTGTATACTTTTCCAAATTATGCATTATGGAAGACTTTGGGTTGTCTACTGGACCACATGCATGAAAGATTTAGCCAACGTCTCTCTAAGCCAACTCAAGGTAAACTAGATTTCTTCACCACATTATTACCAGGAAATGTTAATACCCTATAGATTTGCATTTCAGAATGCTGAAATATGGTAGACTATCACTTCAAAACGGTGAATTTAGACTTTTCAGTGATCCAAAGCGATCTATGCAAATATGGGCATTAGGAGGAAAAGGAAAAACATTTAGGGTTTACCTTTTTAGTTTAACCTATAAGAGTATAATCGGACTCTTATAATCTGTTATTCCCACTTCACAGTTCATCCCTATGCCTTTCATTACTTACCAATTCTTCCTTTTCCTTTTTATGGGCATGAATTGGTGGGGAGCATCTGATTTAGTGGTTAAGAAGAGGCATAAACCTGAAAATCATCCTTTTTTTTTTTTTTTTTTGTTTCCTCAAGTTATTAAACCAGATAATAGCTGGACAATTGGGATGGATGTGGATAGTGTCCATGAGGCCACTGCTCCTAATGAAGAGATCAATACTGCTGAGTCAGAGGCAGAGTTAACTAATGTTGATTCACTTGAAGGTATTTCGTTTAGTGGAGACATAGTGCAAGGAGTTGGAACCGCAGGCGAGGTTTTAACAAGAGTTGAACTAGATTTGGCATGTTTTTCAGAGAAGTTGGTTAACTTGAATATACTTATGATGCACGTGGCAACGAGAGAAAGTGATTTTGAGGCCTTTGTATCAGATAAAGAGCATGTCTTGGGTGATTCTATTGTAAAGGCAATAGAATTTGATCTCTTATCTGGAATTTTGGACTCGGAGTTGAGAGAACTTGACAATTTCATGCCTACTGTCCAAACAGATATTACTAATGCCCATGAGATTGTAACTTCATGCAAGTACTTTGGACAACCTGTGGAGGAGTTGGAAGATAAACTACTTGATTCTGAAGAATCACTTAAGCAGTCACTAGACCAGGTTTCGGAAATAAGGGTGCAATCTACCAAGTTCCAGAGGATCCTGTCAAGTTTTGGTGGAGAAGAAAATGGTAAGCTACTTATTTTTGAATATCCGTACTGTATTTACTTTTCATTTTCATTTTGGGATTACATTAAACCAAACATATAGGCTGCTTAGAATATCTATCAAGTAGCCAAATGCTTGCTTGTATTAAAACCTGCTTGGTTGATTTGTGGGAACCAGCGTGAAGTTCGTTTATAAGAACCAATAGTAATTGTTTTTTAGTTAAAACCTGAACCACAACTGCCTCTAGTTAGTGACAAAAAGGTTTCAAATTGCATTCATATTTTTCTGGGCCCCATTCTGCAGCTTCTATTAGGCCTTAAAGGAGGAAAATATGGACTAATAAAATAATGTGGCTGTATAATTATTTTGGTATTTGCTGCAGGAATGAGTGTAAGAAACTAATGGGTGGTTATTATTTCACTTTCTAATGCACATGCATGTTGGCAGGGAATGGCGACAAGGATGTAGACATCTTAGGAAGTGGTGAATTTTTGGACCATAATGCGAAGATTAAAATGCAGACCGCTGAACAACAGAGGCATTTTCTGAGGATGCTAGAGAAATCTTTGGCAAGAGAGATGGATCTTGAGAAGAAGGTAGGTGATTTGAGACAAATTGAGGAAGAGTTGGTACTAAGGCTGCAATCTTTAGAACAAGAAGTTCTCTTCGTGGAAGAAGAAGCAGAAGTTGTTTGGGAAAGGTTGTTTGAGGCAGAAAATGCTGCTGAGGTTCTGATGGGAATTTCAAAAGAAACACTGGGTCGACTTCAGATTGTTCAGTTCAATCTGAATGGTTCAATTCAACGTGAAGAAAACTTGAGATTTGAGCTTCAGGATTCCATGGTAAAGTTGAAAGCTAAAGACAGTGCTACACAGGAGCTTGAAGATAAATTAGCTCTTGCTAATTCTGAGGCCGCCACTTTGAAAGAGAAGGTGAGTTCACTTGAGAAGCATCTAAAAGAATCTGAGATTGAGTTGCTGAATGCAAAGTCCTCTGCTGATGTAAGCCAACAAGCCTTACATTCCAAAATAAATGAAATGGAGAAGGCAATTGAGGATCTGAAAGAAAAAAAATCTGGAGCAGAAACCAGGGCTGAGAGTGCAGAAGCCAATTGTAAATTGCTAACAGAGACAAATATGAAATTAAATGAAGACTTCGACCTTCTTAAAGGTAGTGCCTCTGAGAAAACTGATTCACTTGAGAAGCAGTTGAAAGAATCTGATATTCAGCTACAGCATGCATTAGCATCTGCTGACGCAAGTGAGGAGAAACAAAATATGTTATACTCTACTATTCATGATATGGAAAATTTAATTGAGGGTCTGAAGTCGAGGATTTCAAAAGCTGAAAATCGGGCTGACAGTGCAGAAGAGAAGTGTATTATTTTGTCCGAGTCCAACTCAGACCTCAATGAAGAACTAAGGTTTCTTAGGAGTAGACTGGGATCCTTGGAGGCATCCCTGCATCAATCTGAGGAAAATAAGATGGCAACTGTAAAGGACATTGGCATTCGGTCTAAGGTGATAACAAATTTGGTGATGCAACTGGCCCTTGAAAGAGAACGCCTTCACAAGCAGGTTTTAATCTACTATATATCTTCTTACTCTATATGCAGAATTGGTCGAAAACTTCCTCCCCCAAGAAAGAAGGAAAAAAAGAAAAAGAGTTGGTTGTTGGCAGTTGACTGGTTTATTAAGGTAGCCTAAATTGAAAAGACCAGCGCACACTTCTCGTTAAAACCCAGGTATTAAGGAGAGGGAAACTAGAGCCTTCTAATTAATATTGATGGGGCAGCTTTGGGCGATGTGGGACACATTTCAACACACACTCTTGAACCACAACATACAATAGCTGGACAAACGGCACACCAATCACAGGCTCAACCCAGTTCTGATACCCAATTGAAAATACCAGCCCACACTTCTCCTTAAAAGCCAGGTATTAAGGAGAGAGAAATTGGAGCTTTATAATTAGTACAGATAAGACAACTGTAGGCGATGTGGGACACATTCCAACAGCCTATGTTAGTCTTAAAGAAATGGGTTTAGAGAGTAGTTAACCACTTGAGGGTTTGGTTTGGTGAGCAGTAAGAAAAATCAGCCTGAGTTTGGGGTAGGATTGTGATTGTGGTAAAAATCGGCCCCACCTTGCCCTATATAACTATTTCACAAAAGTTCGTGTGGTTTTGGGCTTCTAGTAATTCCACACTGGTCTTGATAGGTGCTGAAAGTTATATAGGTCCCATGATTCCAACCAATATCCAAAGTTATGCATTGTTATACCTAAATAAGAATATGTTAAACCCTTTATTTCACGTAGTAGGTACAAAAAACTTTTGAGACATTTTGTGCCCCTAGCGCAAGAGAGAGGAAGGAACAGAGTCATCTGAGGGGACTCAATTATACCTATTCTTTGATTATGTCAACTAACAAGAGTCACGGCCTTCTCAATTTCAATTTTTTTCCCCTTCTTCAATTTTTTTTGTGCAAAGGTTTCTTTGGAAACTTCAAAACAAACGAATGAGTATGGTCGTATGAAATCATTATTTGAAAATGAAAGCATTTTAATTGAAGATACAATGGGGTTCTCCATGGATAAATCAACTATTTGTCCAGATTCTCAAACCAATCATGTTTTGTGTATGCAGATATCTTCATTGACAAAGGAGAATAAAATTTTGTTACATCAAGCTGACAAGGATTCTTCTAAAGCTATGAGCCATGATGGTAGAGGAAATGACAAGGACTTGTGGTTTTCTAAGCATGCTTTCAGTAGTGCAACTTGTGTGAAAGAAAATAAAGAAGAGAGTGATTTCTCAGCTCCTAGTGTTGAGGTAGGTGCTATATTTTATATTTCCTCTGATTTTTACTTTAAAGATTGGGTTTAAAAGGATGTTTTGTTACTTTGCTTGAATTGTGGTTGAAGAAATGCCTTTCTCTGCAATGCATCTGAAACCATGTGTACAACTTCCTAGCTGTCTTAACAATTAGTTAGTACTAGTAGGTTCTGCTTTCAAAATAGTATGAGAACCCAATTCTAAACTCTGAAGGACTTGATTTAATGTTTGAGCAAAACATATATATTAACTCATGTTATGACAATTTTTGGGTGTTTTCTGGAAACTGATTCAGTATCATTATGCAAAAAACCATACTTGACTGGCCTGTTAACCCCATTCAACATGGTGCAACCATGTGAAATCCAGTTAAACTAGTGTGAATTTGAAGATTTTAACAGGAGTACAGTGCCACAAGTGGCGGTGTATCCTAAAATTCAAGATTTTGTCAAACAAAAATGTCCACCAAACTGCCCCCTCACCTCTCCCAAACACTTCTAAACTTTAATAGGAATTTTATTTGGTCTTACAACTTTCTTATTTTCATCCTATTCATAGCCTCTCTTACCTCTACTACTCTAATCTTGTGAATTATCGAGTTATCCTAGATTCAAGTTACCTGAGTGATTTATGCATACGTGATGACTTGGCTTAAGCCAAGGGACATCCTCCTAAGGGATATACAATACTATACAAATAGAACTTATATACAAACTTCAGGGGGGGAAACAGAAGGCCCAAAATCCTACTGCGAGATAATTTAATATGCAAGTTTTGTACAGAAATTCTGTTCACTTAGTGTTTTCCCTCCCTAAATGCTTGAGGAATAAATTGAGTTGCCTCTGCACTTCAGTATTTTGTCTCTTGAGGAGAGCTTTTCCGAAAAACCATATTTTTTTATAGACTGACTCTCATTGACCGAATGACTCATATGAAATTATGTCGGTACTTTCACATATTATTAGTAATGTAGGAGACATCTGTATTTTTCCCAAGGAGAAATCTTTAAAATTACCACTGCTTAGCTTTCAATTCACCTTTGACAATTGAAATGAAATGTGAATAACCCGTCCTCTCTGTGAAACAAGGGGCATTTTCAGTTCTGTTGGTGCTTGAAACAATTTTTTCTTCTTTGTATTTCAGTTTCTTTGCCCCTTTTCTTTTCAATCTTTTTATTTTATTTATTTTTATTAGTCTTGTTCTTGGCTGAAAGCATCAATTTGGGTAGATATTACAATTTTTTTTCTTTTCTTTCTAAAATAACTTATCCATCTTTGTCTGGTTTTCAGGCGGACACTACACCAATTAATGTTTCTGTTGGTGAGGCAGAATCGAGGCCAACAGATTCGGCATTCAAGATTGAGACCGTGAGGAACATAGATGCAAGGCAGCTTAAATTTAAGTATGGTTTAATGGCGGCTCTCACATTAGCGATTTCAGCATTAGCAGCCTTTTTGCTTCAAAATCCACAAAGCAAATTTTGATAGCATTGGCGATGAATATATCATTTCATCCAGAAAGTAGTATGTGATGTTCAATAATAGAGAGACCTTGAATGCAGCATCACTGTTTACTACTTATCGGTTTACTACTTATCACAATGCTTAGTGAGCTTTTTGTTTCCTGGCTCTGCTTTATGGATTCTTCTCACTTGAGTTTTGTTTCCCCGTCATGGGCATTGCCTTTTACCAACTTTGTTTGAAAGAGTATAAAATGGAGCAATGGCCTCTACTTTATAGAGAAGTATGCCTTTCTCTTGCATATAATTAAGTAGAAATTCTTTATAGATCCTAAAGTGACACGAGCCTTGTGCACACGGGATTGTCCTTTTTGTAGCTAAGTTGAAATTCATCACTTGTGGCACCATTTGTATGCCCTCCATAGGGTCTAAAGAAAATACCGTTGCATAGAATATAATAGGTGGTTCATGGAGTTAGAAACCATAATTTTGGGATGATTTAGAGGTTGTTTGGGGTGTAATAAATAAGTGTATTTTTTTATCTTTTTAAATTAAAAAGTTGAGAAAAAAAATGGATGTTTGGATTAATTTTGTTTTTTTACAATAGAATGTGTAATAAAAAATTGTATAAATAAAGTGTATAGTGAAAGAAAGTTAAGTGGTTGTACGGCTGTTCTGTTGCCCCAGCATGTCTTACCCAGAAAATAATTACCTCCTTCGGGGGGGCAAAGTGTTTAGACAGTGATGTTCGGTCCGTAGGGTCACCATGGATCCCATTTTAATAATCTGAATCGTTCAATATGTACAATTTGTCGAGTATTATATACTTGTAAAAAATTACGTTAATCGGATATCGATAGTTATATGATCGAATTAGTTTTTTTCAACAGTTTACTACAACACCATCTGTTTTGTTTATGCAAAACTGATTTGATCATATGGTTAACGATATTCGATCAACGTGATTTTTTACAGGCATATATTACTCGATGAGTTCTACATGTTGAACGATTTAGATTATCAAAACGAAACCCTTAGTGGGCCCCCAAGGGCCCAACATTACTATCAAATTTTGTAGCTTTACATATGTAATTTTTTTTTTGCCCAAAAAAAGTGTATAATGGCCTTTCTACTTCACAAGTACGACTGACAGCATCCATTAAATTTTTGTATTATAAAAATATATAAAATATTTTTTTAATATTTTTTATTTGTGAATAGTAATGATTTTTTTATTTTTTGTATAATTTTTTTATTTTTTAAATTATTTTGAACTTGTCAAACCCGTCCTTAATTGATATCTCATCTACTCATCTATTAAGACAAGGACAAATTTCACTTTACTTGCTATTGCTTTGGTGTGTTTTACCCTCTAGTTTTGAAATAAGCTCTTTATCTTCTGTGGTTATTGGACTAAAAGATACAGTTTAAATTTTCATTTAAGGTCTTATTTGGGAACAGGCTAATTTAATAATTTTTTAGTTATTTGACTAAAATATGAGCTAAAAAAAATTAGTATGTTTGGGATGACTTTTTGATTTTTTACGAAAAAAATGTGCAAAAAGTAAAGAGAAAAGAGAATATTTGATTTTTTGATATGAATTGTTAATTTTTTAATTTTTTTAATAATTTTTTAACTTTTTGACTAAATAGAAAGGTTCCCAAACGAGGCCTAAGTTGATGGACAGTGTAATACACGGGCTCTGAACTGCCTGTGGACACTATCAAAAGTTTTTTCCACACTCAATTCGAGATGATCAAAATCTTTTAAGAGAGTGGGCCCCACCAAAATTGTAGAATTTAATTCATTTAGAAGTATGGGTCACAGTAAAATGGAAAATGTTTGAGGGCCCTAATTTCTGTGGCTCAAATGGCTCAAATTTGCCAAAACGACGTCGTTTTGACAATTTTGATGTTGTTTTGTACTCAAAACGACGTCGTTTTGACAAATTCGAACCATTTGAGCCACAAAAATTAAGACCCTCTATCATTGTTGAAGGTAAAATGGTTGCTCCATGTTGTCAATATGAGTCAATTAATTAGTTTAATCCAAAGGTGTGGGTCTTTCCGCAAGACACTACTCAAAATTTCTCTAGAATTTAGAAATTGTATACAATCCAAATTCAAATTATTTCTATAAAAGATAGATAAAATTCTCTTATTTTAGAAATTAAAAATAAATAAATATTCATTGTAGGGAGTTCTCAATTAACATTCCTTCCTCTTAGCCTATAAATAGAACCTTTGGCCAAGAGTCCGCAAGGATTCCTCAAAGCTCAACATAAAGTTCTCTCCAAAGTTCTCGTGAATATCAACAAGCATTTCAACAAGGTGCCAATTTTCTCTACGTGTTTCCACATGTCAAAAATCGCTCAAGATCAAGTTCTTCAAACACTCGATCAAGCCTTTGCTTCAGTCTTATTACTTCGAAGATTTGAAGAATTTCATGAAGCGGTTCAATTTGACAAGAAGCTTTTATATCCATTGGATTGCAACCATACTAGGAGATTCAAAGGATCACCGTTGTATAATAGCAAAACAGATTGTTTAGATGGGAGAAAAGTGCAGAAAGTACAAACAAAAGCAAATCTTTTTGCATTTCTTTTTATTTCCTCTTTCATAGGAGTGGAGGGAGAAACACGCAGATCTCTAGCCACCTCTTCTTATAATTGGGAATAGATGTGTCAACAAAAATTCTGATCCTCATTTTTATAACCTAGTAGCAAATGATATAAGTGACATGTGCATAAAGTGTAGACAATCGACGTAACTGTAGCAATTAGATCAATATGCTTGTTTATGTCGACAGAAAATTGAGATCAGCAAACAACCACAAAGTCTAAACCTGCGCGCCGAGGGATCTCTCTCACCTCTGTAACAAATTCCGTTGGCATGTCTTTCATCTGCAGCATTTGGAGATTAGTAAGATTTTGAAGTCCTTTGGGTGGCAATCTTAGTTTCGGACACTTAGTAATGATTAAAATCTCAAGCCTCGCCATAGATCCGTCCTCTATCTTTGTCCACTCTTCAAGTTCCTCAAAATTGAGAATCGACAACTTCTTGAGATTGGGAAAACCAGAAACGTCATCACAACACATCAGCTTTCCTCTGTAGACATTTTGCAATGAGAGGAGAGTGAGATTAGGTAGGTGCTGGAGAGCTGAAATCGGGTCACTAACCAGCATATTATCCCGTAAATACAAGTACTTGAGGGATTTTAGCGTGCAGACCCAACTCAACAGGTCTTCAACCCAACCCCCAACTCGTAACTTTTCCAAATTTTCAAGAGGGTTTGATATTTGCAAATGAATTTTCTTCCTCCAAGCGCAATTTATGGTCAACGAATTGAGGTTTTTCATTAGGCTGACAGATTCAGAGAACTGTGAACAGTTTCCTCTCCCTTCAATCTCCCCCACAGATAATTTTACTAGTTGAGGAAGGTACTTTAGCTCTGTTGCAATGTGTTCTGTTAGTTTGATGCCCGCAAGAGTTTGAAGATCTTTCAAGAACATGATATTACCTTCTAGCTTTACCACTCGCTTACTAAATGAATCTGCAAGAAGGACGTGCCTCAGCATCTTGAGACCATCAAATCCACTTGGCAAGGCCCTTACGTACGTGTCCCTGACGTCTAGAGTCTGCAGATCGCGTAAATTCTGGAGGGTTGAGGGCAGATTACAAATGCCTGTACCCCTCAAGCCCAAATAGTGCAATAAAACAAGATTACCAATTTCATCTGGCAAAGCACCAATGGGAATTTGTTTTAACTCAAGCACATGAAGAAATCTGATATTACACAACGAGTTCAATAACACGGAGGGAGTCCACTGTTCATTCTCACTGAATAGAAGCATAGAACGGATTGGTTTGCTGTTTAAGCTAGGAAAGACATTTTTTATCTGACCGTGTATTGAAAGCATACGAGTTGCCTCTAATGGACAAATATTACGGCCACCACTGTCAGATAGGATACAGAAATGGTCCTTGTTCAACACTTCAATGATAAAATTTCTTATTAGACAGAGAAGCTTGCATGATATCACCTCTCCATTTGCACCTAACCTTCCTACTTCAAACAAGTTCCTTTGGATTAGCTCGTCCAATAAGTTTTTGGCAATTTCCTCCTGTGTCATCCCAAGTAGTTCCGTTGCTATAAAGCCCTCTGCGACCCATATCCGAATCAGCCTCTTACAAGGGATTTCATAATGAGAGGGAAACAACCCACAATAAAGGAAGCAGCACTTCAGTGTAGGCGGCAAGCTGAAGTAACTTACCATGAAAATAATTTGGATTAGGCTGGACTGAGGCCTACCCTCTTTAGCCTCTTTCAACATACAGAAAATGGAATCCAAAACCCTAGGTTCCTTGAGGAGGGATTTTGAGAGCATGGCACCTACTGTTGCAACAGCTATTGGAAGACCTTCACAAATCTGCAAAATTTTCTGTACCACTGGTTCCACTGAAGAAGGCCAAAGTGCCTCACCAAGGTCGTGATGCTGGAAACAAGCTCGACTTTGTAACAGCTCCAAGGCATCTTTCGGTAGTAGTGGCTCAAGATGTACAACATGCTTGCAAATAACGGAAGTGAATCCTGAACTTTGAGTAGTCATGAGAACCTTTCCTCTGCATCTTTGAGGCAATGCACACTTCACATCTTCCAATGTACTTAATGCATCTAAGTCATCTAGAACCAACAGGAACTTCTTACCATCCAAGAAATCAAAGATCCTCCGGGCCAACTCTTTCTCATCCATTTCATTGAAATTGTTTCCATGCATCATTTCAGGCCATTTTTCAGAAAATCCCATAAACACGTCTCTTAAAATGAATCTGGCAGGGCGATCAGAAACAAATACCCATGCAGCACAATCAAAATATCTCTTTGCACACTCATAAACTGTTTTAGCAAGAGTAGTTTTACCAATCCCACCAACCCCAGTTACGGCAATGAGGTGCAGCGCATCTACGTCCTCCCTAAGCAACAATTCCTTAAGCATGGTAACCTCTGTATCTCTTCCCACCATATGGGTTAATGAAAGATTTGCAGTGAAGGTCTTTGAATTTCGTATCTGTCTCTCATCTATTGCTTCTACTGAGCTGCTGAACAAGGATAGATGTTTCTTAACTTGCACTCCCTTCAGCTTCTCACAAACCCGCTTACGTAACAATGTAAGACTAAAAACAGAACTATTGTTATTATCATTCACATTGCTATAGTTAAAAGAATTGCCCACAAGTTCCCAAAGATAAGACAGGGTCAAACCTGTTGTATGTCTTCTATCATACCAATCCTGGTCGATCAGATTTTCCACTTCACGAGCCAAATCCACGACATCCAAAACCCATGTTTCAACAACACTGTCTCCTGAGATCAGCCTCTTCCAATCTGCATATCTGAGGAATGGTTTGATTCTCTCAAACTCATTCTTGATTTGAGTCGCTTCATCCAGTCTCTTCTTATTAGTCTCATTGACAATCCAAACCTCTAATTTGGAGAGAAGGTACTCCACTGCAACCTCAGCCATCTTTTATGTCCGTGCCAAAACAATCACAATACACACTGCATAGCAATTAAAAAACAAGGCCTTTCATTCACCTTCCAAACAATCAACAGGATAAGGGATTATTAGTTATTATTATTTGGATACATAGAGATGTGACTTGAGAGTAAATATTGGATTAACGGCCATACCATGTCACAATACCAACCAATGAGATATCTCACATTGCTACAATGGAGATGTCTACATGGTTGGATTAGTGAGATTCAAGTCCAATCCCGCTTGTGATTTTTTTATTGACTAGTGACGCTACATTGGGTGTAGAACAGCATCACCATTACACTCATTTGTTTGTAGTCAAGAATTCATGGGTTTGAAATACAAAAACAATCACAAGCGCGATAAGACTGTGAACACCTAACACTTCTCAAACCCTGCAATGGCGGGACCCTCGTGCACTGAACTGGCCGTTTCTAGATTTTCAAAAATGGAAATGAAACAATAAATCCTAATATAATTAGATGTTAGAGCATCTCCAATCCCTCAACAATTCTTTCATCAAAATTTGAATTTGATGAATAAAGAGCCAAATGTGAGCTCCAACATTTCATCAAACTTGAATAAAATCAAGGTTGAACCAACAGTCATATTTTTACTCAAATTTGAAGAAAATAAAAAAAAATTAAAAAAAAATCAAGGACTGGAGATGATTTTCTTTCATAAAAATGGTTAAAATAAAACATAATTTTAGGATAAATCTGGAATTTTTCAAAAAGATTTGATGAAAAAAATAGAGTCAGGATTAGAGTATTCCATACCAGATCAAGCTTTTAATCAATTTTTCACTCAAATTTGATGAGAAAAAAGAGAGTAAAAAACCAAAGTTAAGAAGCTATTCGGATCAATATATAAACAATGCGATTTCATTTTAACTCAACAATACATTTGTAGAACTTATTTATGCTCTGATTTTGATTCAAAAGGCATGAAGTTTGCGATTTGATGAGAAAGTGAATGAAGAGATTCAATGGATTGGAAATTTTGTGTACCTTTGAATTTGGAAGAGTGAAGCTCTTCTTCCTCGGCATCTTTCTCTGTTAATCAGCAAGACTCAGCACCGAAATTCTTCAACAAAATTAATTGCGAAAGATTGAAGATTTATATTTAGGGCAAGTTCAGGTGGGATCGGCTCGCCAGTTGGCAAACCCAACACCCGAGTTTGTATTACGTGCAAATTACACTTTGTCATTTTATATTTTATTATGTTCTCATTTTAATCCTTTTGAAATTTTTTCTCTCTATTTTGATTTTCATATTTAAATTATTTTTTTTTCAATTTACTCGGACTATTAACTTTTATTTAAAATTAGATAAAAAAATATTATACTACCTGGCATATGACATAAAAAATAAAATAAATTATATTAACCTTTCTCAAAATTTAAAAAAAATATACTGTCAGTTCAACTATTTTAACATAAATTACATTGACCTCTCTCTTAGTAGATTAAATGAGTTGTGCCTAATGTACATAGGCCATGTTTGTTTGGGCGGACTGGATTAGCATTCCCATGACTAATAGTCCTAGGACTACAAATCCGTTGGATTATATATCCTATCTTAACTAAAAGTCAAGTTTAAAATAATTAGTCCCTACTTCAATTGTTTAATCAAACATCGGATTAATAATTTTATTGGACTATTAGTCCAATCCCAAACTCATGTCCACCCAAACAAACATAGCCATAGTGTGACACACACAAAAATAAATTACATACAGTTTGGAAAGAGCTAATTTAGCTTGATTTAAATTTTTTTTTTTGACTAATTTAGCCTGACTAAATTAGCTTCGTTTGATAAGAACTTTTGACTTTTTATAATTTTGTGAGAAAAAAATTGAAATGATTATGATTTAAATATGACATTTTATCTTATTAATTTTTTTGTCTGTTTGTCTTTTTGTGCTTACTTGGTCTGTTTAGCTTTTGCAAAATGAAGCCACAATATATATTTTGACATCATTTTGCATTTATATAACTAATAAATTATTGATAAAAAAGTTCAAGTGTTATGTGAATTAAAATATTATCGGAGTTGAATGTAATGTCAAAATTATAAGACTTATTTGTTTTTTTCAAACTTCAAAAAAGGTCAGTGTAATTTACCTTAAAAATATATTATTATATTATAATTTAAGTTTGTATCAGAAATGTAAATTATATAATAAAATATTATTATGTCACGTGATTGTTAATATATCATTTACTATTTATTTGGATATAAGTTAACTTTCAAGGTATATTATAAAAAACTTCAAATATGTTGAGCTAAAAATGAGAGAAATAAAACTTCAAGTGTCATTTATCCATAATTTCTATTAATATTTCTATTTTTAACTTAAAAATATAACTTAGTCCTATGTCACGAGCCGACTCCTTTAGAGATGCAACGGACCAATTTTTCGCTCGTATGACGCTCAAACTCCACCAAGTTTAAGCCCGCGCATAACTCATTGACAAATCGAGTGTTAATGATCTCACTTGTTTTGAACATTAGGACCCAATGCTTTGTCAAGTAGAATAACTCTATAAGAAAGCTTCATCTTCACTCGGATGCCACAAGTAGGCCTGACGCTTCAAGTGCACCAAACACGGCATAAATCGCTTCATAGCGCCAAGCTTATCTCAAACAAGGTGCAATGCTAAGGTACCTAATGGCCTTAGGCATAATCTAATACCCGTGTTGACACAAGGACTACGCCGTGGGTAAGAGGTTGACCCTTGGTGTCTTGTTGGCTTTGCATGACCATGTGGCCATTCGATATGCATCGATTGAGGTATGCTTGACCCTACGACACTTTGAGATGCTGTCAAAGGCCCAACGTGTTATGTTGGCTTGTCGGTTAAGTCGAGGGCCTTTGCTAGCACATTGTTGTGTGGTTAGGCACCTTGATGACATAAACCTAAGTTGGGATCAACTCCTTTAGAGACGCAACAAATCAACTTTTTCGCATGTGTAACGCTCAAACTCCACTAAACTTAAGCCCACCATAACTTATTGACAAATCGAGTGTTAATGATCTCGCCAATTTGGAACATTAACACTCGATTTGTCAATGAATTATGACGGGATTAAATTTGGTGGAGTTTGATTGTCATACGAGTGAAAAATTAATCCGTTGTGCCTTTAAAAGAGTCGGCTCGTGACACCCTGCCCTGTTTCAACATTGACGTGATTTGCCTACCTTCAACATAATAGAAGGGCGGATGCAGAGACTACAAACTTATTCCAAATTCACCTTGTTGTCATCCATACGTGTGGTAGTTGTGGAAGCCGAAGAAAAAACATTATGCATTGGCAAGAAAAAACATCATCCATAATTTGGTGAAGAGGAAAATAATGTCAAGTAAAATTAGCTCTCAGTATTATGCTTCGTAAAAAGGTTTGATACTAAGGAGAGAAGTTTTCTAAAATGAAAAAGAAGAGTACTAAAAGGATAAAGAACATGCGAGTCAGTCCCATCCAAAGTCACAAGTAGATGATATCACCAACAATAACAATAATGATTACAAAATGACAAACGGAATTCTATAAATAGAGGAGGAGTGTCAAAAGTTAAGGTATGCAACATCAATCCATAAAAATAAAACTTATTTCTTTTCTACTTAGCTAACTCGATTATCGGACTGTTCACCTAGTGGCACAACCCCGACAAGCTCCATTATCTTTTGGGTTGTGTTAGGGAAGATTTATTTAATTAATTGACGTCAGTTCCTAAAAGAAACAAGATTGAATTTCCATTTCACCGAAGAGAAACATATAAATCAATATATATATATATATATATATTTTACCCACGTTTTTTAGCATTTTATAATTAAGTTTTCAATATATACATTTGTAAACAAGATTTTTTATTGAATAATGCTTGGGAGCACTAATTAGTGCTCCCACTAATTAGGTGGCAGTGGGTCCCGTCAGTAATGATGTGATGTTTTGGTCTTGGAGTTGTATTTTTTTTTTTTTTTTACTTTTTTAATGCATTAGTGCTATTAGTGGTGATGTTTTTAGTGGGTTGAATCATTGTTGTTTTTTATTTTTTAAAAAAAAATTGAATGGGCTTAGCTAGAAATTGCTTCTCATTTATAAGAATATTAGGAAAAATTCTATTTTCACACACCATACCTCAGTACACATCATTTCTTAGTGCACACACTTATGAATTTAATTAAGTATTATTTGTCTTATTTCACATACCACATATTTCAATTATAACCTTTAACAAGATAATAGCTACTATTGCGTTCATCACAATCTTCTCTTCTTTCTGTACGAACGTCTTAGTACCATCTCTACCTTAGCCAACGCTATTGACAGAAAACCATTTGAATCACTAGGTCTTAACTACTCCACTCCTATCGAATTGCACCATTTGAGCTATGTATTGCAAGAATGTACTAATTCCAAAGACTTCCAGACTGATATATCTGTCCTTATCCTACTCCTAAAGTTTGATTTTGATGGGTTTATCTCCTTATGGAACAAGCTTTTGAATCTGTATTGTAAATGCGGTCAATTTTTTATTGCTCATCAAGTGTTTGATAAAATGTTTAAAAGAGATTTTTTTTCATTCAATACGATGATTTCGAATAGTGTCCATTCTAATTATTGTTTCGAAGCTATTTCTTTTTATTAAAATTATTTTTCAAACAAAAATAATAATTTTTGCAGTTGATTTCTGACAAAATAAAAAAATTCAGTAATGGTTTGCCGAAAAAAGTTTGTTTGTTGTTGGTTGTAGAGAGAGAGAGAGAGGAGAGAGAAGATATGAGTTGTGTAGGATTTTAACATTTATTGTGATCATTTTATTTTAAGTTATAATTATTATTAAAATAAGAAAAATGCATGAGAACTCAAATGTGTAGAATTCGAATGGCTCGAAAATATTATCTTGCCAGTAAAAGAATTAAAAAATACTTTAAAATAACATCGTTTTAAAATTTCGAATCATTCGAACCATTTGATTTTCGAGCCACGTAAGACTGCGGTTAAAATAAAACTTATGAGGCAAAGTGGGATGTGGAATACCAGACACGTAAACAATCACTTTTCCAACAGCCAAACAAGGCGGCCTATGCTCAAAGAGTAGCAACAGAACAACATACCGGCGACAGTGCGACACCATTTCGACTAAATATACATACATTCATATCAATACATTTATATCTCTGATCTGAAAATTTTCATTTCAATCAACGATCAGACCGCCATGGCCAACAACATCAACGACGACGATCTCTACGCTTTCGATTTCGATGACTCTCTTTCTCCTCCCACCAACCTCCACTTCTTCATCTCCTCCTCCTCCTCCTCCTCCTCCACTCATTCTCACAATTTCTGTCCCTACCCCAATTATCCCCAGTCTGATTCCGATTCCGATTCTGATTCTGATCCTGATTCTGATCTGGATTCGAATCCATTTCACGACAACGAAGACGAAGACGACCAATTGAATTTCGTCACAAACCTCTTCGCATCTCGCGAACAAGAATACATCGCAGCAGACGATCAAGATGTGAATTATGGGTTAGGGTTAGGGTTAGGTTTTGGGTCTGGGTCACGAATCGAATTCGATAGAGTTAGTGAATTCTCATCCACTCGTGGCGTGAATTCGAGTACCGATGGTCTTCGAGTTGTTGGAATCGAATCTGATTCGGACTCCGAGGAGGTGGGTCAGGACGTCAATTCTAGGGTTAGTGACGATGGTGAGACTGATTCGCTCGGGGAGGTTATGCCTCTCTTTTGGGATTGTCTTGGATTTGAGGAACGAAGAGAAGCCAATAATGAAGAATTTGAGTGGGAAAGGGTTGATGAGGAAGGGGAGGGTTTGAGCTCGGTTATTGATGGCATTGAACAACTATCGGTAGCTTCTCGAGTTTCAATCAACGAGGAATCGAGTGATATTGGGGAGGAAGCTTTGCGAGATTTCGAATGGGAAGTTCTTTTAGCTGTTAATAATTTGGATAGACTCCATGAATTGGACCATCACGGCGACAGTGATGGCGTTTCGTATTTAGCTGTTAGGGATGGTTATATATATGCAGCTGTGTACGATACGCTATTTGGACAATTTGTGCAGAATGAAAGTGCTTTGAAGGGTAGTCCACCGGCTTCCAAAGCTGTTGTGGAAAATCTTCCGTCTGTGGCATTGACAAAGGAAGAGTTGCAAGAAAACAATGTAGTTTGCGCGGTTTGTAAAGATGAGATTTTGGTGGAGGAGAAAGTGACAAGGCTACCTTGCTGTCATCATTATCACGGGGACTGCATTGTCCCGTGGTTGTGTATTCGTAATACATGTCCTGTTTGTCGGTATGAGTTGCCCACAGATGATCTGGATTATGAGCAGAGGAAAACCCAAAGGGTGAGTCTTGATATGCCACAGGATTTTCAGGTCAGATACAATTCTGAACTGTTACCATGACACTGTGTTTGCTTTATGTAAATAATATCTTAAGGGGAATTTACGCCTTTTCAGTGAAAATGGAGTTTTTGCTGATTTTGTATGTTGTATTGGCAAGATTGTTAAAATGTTGGGCTACTAGATTGGGTTTCTTTGATGCAGGCATTGGATGAAATGCTTTCTATGTAAACTAAGGTTGTATTGGTGCATATACACCAAAAACTGAATATATGAATCCAATGAGAGCTTGTAAGGGTGGGTGACAATGTGATACCATTTCTCTGTTCTGTTGCATGTATGATCATCGCTTCATGCTAGTAGTGCTGACCAAATTTCGTAATAGTTTTTAGCTTTTGAAATTTTATGTTCTGATAAATGTAATCAATAATGCAGCAAGTAGCAATCTTCAACTCAACTAAATGCTTTTTATCTGCTACTTCGGGTTTGGTGTACCATACTTTTTTTTCCGTACTATTTATTTATGGCCATGCTATAGGCCACCCTGTATTTCCTGATCGTCCTGATCATCTTTGAACAATTTAAACTTCAACTGCAGATCACTCATTTGTGTGGCTGAATAATTGATCTTAACTGTACGCCATTAATTATCATATGACTTCTTATCTTCTTGTGTTGCAGTTTTGATCACCTCTTACTTCTTGTGCACGCACTCATGCATAGGTCTCTGTTTCTTGTGTTACTGGCTCACTCATCTATTTCAATATGCTTTTTTCCGCAATGCTTACTTTATGAGATTGTTGTCCGTGGACTCTTTCAAATATTTCACTGTAAAGCAGTATCTATATAATCTTCAGAACATTCCCCTTTCAATTTAACCTTTGGATGATGATAACACAATCTATATGTACTTCATCCCATTATCCAGCTTATTCTGGTGCAATGTGCAATGTTGACCTCAATTCCCCTTACCGTGGTGAACTCATCCAAAATAATGAATATTGTCAATTTTGGGTTTCTTATTAACAATTATCACTTTATCTATACTCTTAATATCACCAAATCTACATTCCCTTTTACCTTTTGCTAATTTAAAAAAAATTAAGTTCTAAGGCATGTCGCTCTACACTTACTCGTTTTTTTCAATTAAAACTGTGTTGTTAGGTTAATATCATGACCTCTTATTGAATATGTCTAACTTTACTTATCACCAATACAAAAAGGATCAAGGGCTTGATGACAGCTTTTGGTGTACGCTTGGGTTGGAAATGCACTTGTCTATCCTCCAGTAGTGCTCATGCTAGTTAGTCGTCATTCTTCAAGCTCTTTGCTTGGTGACAACAATGTGGAGAAGGTGAGCAGTTATGATGAATAGCGGGTTGGGGACCTAGGGCCAAGATCAATATTTTTTCTGGTGCTCTCTATTCTTTTTGTTCCCGTAAATGGATGGTGCTGTATGGCATTGGAAGGAACTCAAGGTTCAAGACTTGATATTGGTTAATATTAGTAGAATTCTTTCATTGTCTGATTCAGAAAGGAAATTGTCTGGGTTAGTTAAATGGTAGTAGCTGCCACTGCAAGCAACTATTTCTGGGCAATCTCTTCAACTGCTTCCTTTTACAAATATAAAAGACAGGTTATTGGATGGACAACTCACTTTATTTCTTCAGCTTCCCCATTGAAAAGTTGGGGGGAAATTTTCTTTCTTCAATCCTTATCATCAACTTGTGGACCACTTGATGCACTAGATTGTATGCAGTTTTGAGGGAAAGTTTGCTTCTTGGCTAATTGGTCATCAGAGGTGTAGTGAAAGGGAAGAGCTGTTATTCAACAGTGTGGAAATTGTAGAATGATGAGCTTAAAAGTCACGAGAAATTAAAACAGCATATAGAATTCTGACATTCACATCTTTTTATTTAGCAATAATCAGAAAACTTTTAGCACCTCTTTTGGCAGAGTGAAGGGCAATCTAGTTAGAGATTTCTGTGGTTGCTGCAATGCAAGAGCTTATGTTAGTGTTTGTGATAATAAATTTGGTTTGTTAATATTGTTCTCCTTCATTGAATGAAATGGTATTTTGCTTTTTGAATTACTAAAGATAATTAGTATAATAATATTGTATGTAGTGTTGTACAAACAATGTCAGCTGGTGTCGATGCAGGGTTGTGCACGTTGGCTTACCGTTCTCGAGGGAAATCACGGTTGCCAGGTTTGAACTGTACCCACCAATTAATAGCAGGGAATGATGGCTTGAAAAGCTCAGTTTTATCTCTTCATGTGCACTTGGTCTCTCTCTAATGACGACCTGAAAGTTAGGTTCTACATCTTTTCCACTCAGGCACTGGAGTCTTCAAGGAAAATATGGGAATCATATAGAACAATTTGATACATCCATCACACTACTATTGTTGGACATGCAGGGAGCTAAATCCTGCCTTTTGCTGTTGTTTTTCATGGTTTCTGTCTGTGCAAAGTGTTAATATTTTGCAACATATTTACATACATTGGTTAATGTATGATATTCATTTATGTTCTACTAGAAGTGTAGATAGAGGTTGATATGATTGTTTGTTGTGTTGTTTGATATTTAGATTCTGGAATTCATCTACGGGGTTGCTGAAAGTAGATGAGATGTTGTTTGACATGTACGCCTCCCACCCATGAAGCTATGCCTGAGTAATATATCCCTCGGAAAATCAGGCCAAGAAACCTGGTGTGGTGACATTAATGGTGGTGCACCCTTAGCACGGTATACAACAGATGTCGATTCACAGGTGGATATTACATCTGTAAGGAAGGAATTAAGAATAGGTCTCTGGGGCTTACTATCCTGTTTTAGAGGTGACTCTCTAGGCTCTTGGTAAACTAAACCCAGATGTCTATTTACTTTTCTGTTGCTGAAATTTTAGCAGCAGTTATTGAACTAATTAGATGCTAATGTACAGTAGTCTGAAGATTTGATGGTATGGAGAAGAGCTGTCTAAACATATTGCTCTCCGGTTAGCGGATCGCAGTTGCTTACCAGCTTAAGTTGTACTGTATACTCAATGTCATAGCATACAGCTCAATATATGTTTCCAATTGGAGGTGATGGATTATTAAAAAAGAATCCTTTTTAATTTTATTGATTTAGGAGGTGATGAACAGTTGACCTTCGACTTAGGAATATATATTGTTGATGAACCTAGAACATTAAGTTCAGGTGGAGTAACAATCTTTGAAAGCTGGTGTTTGAGCCATTACAAATGTCAAAAACTTCTGGGCAAAGGTAATTAAGACTTCTCAAATTTACTGTGGAATGGCAAGCTTCTTCTTCTTTTTGCTGCTGCTGTTGTTGTTGTTGTTGTTTCTTTTTTTTTTTTGTGTATGCGCGCGCTAAACCAACAAAAAACAAAATTAGATCTAAGCAAGATGGACTACCAAGGTGGGCTATCACGTTACAACTAATATGGATCTTTATTTGCTCCTTAACAATATGGTTGACAAATTTTGGGGTCAGGATACTGTGCTCAAACTAAGCTGTGACTTGTGTATTTTTTGTTTACGTTACTTTTTAATTTATTGATATAACGCTCTCAAAATAATACATATAAATTCAACATTCATGATATTCATAGGCAAAGAATAAAGCATATTTCCATTCATTAGAGTATTCTTTATAAAAATATTGCATGTTGACAATAAAAGTAAATACTCTACGGGCTTACAACTTTTCAAACCAACACTTGGTTGCAAAAAGTGAGTACTAACTCAAATACACGTTAAGTTCTTGGCTTGAATTTACATGTAATATCGAAAAGATAACAAAAATAATCAAAAGAGTCTTCAACTCCCAAGACTTTCCAAGCTACATCATTGGAGGTGACATAACACCTAAACCTGAAAATGATGTCCCATATAGGTTGAGCCAATCCAGTAGAGATATGTTAAATATAATATGAGTAATAACTAAAACATTGACATATGATAAATGTTCAACTCATACAAACAAACATACATCTCTTTCCATTTCATTAGCCAAACCAATTCATAGATATGGTTCCTTATTCATCTAGACAATTCTCATATTATCATCATTTCAATACTTCAATTTATCTACGTTATCCAAACACAATTAGGATTTCGGGACTTTCACTCTGGACGATCCGGCCAACTTAGTTATCACTGGAGTTCATCCCTTATCTCCTTCCAAATCGTGTTTACGAGTACATCCCCTATCTCCTCCCAAACTGTAGAGTACATCCTCTATCTCCTCCCAAACAATATACATATACAATGTATTTAAACACTTATCATATACAATGATCAAGCCAAGCACATATTCAATGTGTTATTCCATCTGTCATATTCAATGACATACTCAATTGATTGTTTTAATTTACTTAATCATCATGCAGTGTCTACAACAATCAAGACTATCCTCCACCGATAGCCTAAAACAATTATTTTTAAACATATAACAAACTATTAAACAGATAAATTATCTACAATTTCAAAGGTAAATGATTAATCAATCCAACTCCACCATTAAATCTCATAATTATCCAATTTCATTATTTCTAACTCAATTTCATATTTCCACAACTTTCCCAAATTAATTATACAAATTAATTCATCACAATAAATTAGGGCTTTTCTCCCATTTTTCTCACCATTGACCCAAAGGTCCAAATATCATCAATAAACATCAATAACCTTATTTTAAGACCCAAAATACACATGTATTGGTCAAAAGAACAAAACCCCTCTTTATACATTTTGAAACCTAATACCCAAAATTTCCTAACTTCAACATTAAATCAAAATGACCACAAGTTTATGTCAAAGACCATAAATATGAGTAGTTATCCCTACCTCAAATTTCAGAACCCAAATGAGATGATGATCAAACTCGGAAGGGCTCCAAACCCCAAGATTTTCGGATCAAAATGGAGGTCTTGCAAAGTTCTACCACTTTAATGAAGGCACAAGGGTTGGATCTCACTAAACCAAGATCAAAATGTAGAGAGAGAGAGAGTTTTAGAGAGAGAAGCTCTCAAATTAGGGTTTTGAAAAGCTAGAGAGAGACAATGGCCTGAAAAAGTGATTCAAAATGTAAAATTCGGACTGATATAAAACACAGTCCACTCGAGCGTGGAACGCCCCGCTCGAGCGTCAGACACAGACTCACGTTCGAGCGTGAAAAGCGCCACTCGAGTGTCGAATGCATACTTCCAGAAGTTCTGCAGACGAAGGTCCCCGTTCGAGCGTGAAAGTGGACGCTCAAGCGTCTGACGACCTGCAGGGACAATACTGAAGGTTGAAAAATCCAACTCGATCGTCGGAATGCCCACTCGAGTGGAGGAGCAAAAGCAAAAGTCTCACTCGAGCGTCAAAAGTCCTGCTCGAGCATGAAGGCCAAAATCTGGGCATCAACTCTTGATTTCCAAACACAACCAACTTGTTTCAAACCTGTCCAATACAACCCAAGACTCAAATACAAAGAGTAAAGGATGGAAACGAGAATAAGACAACAACACATCCACGGAACCGAGTCCGGAATACAATAAACAAGGAAGGAAAAATCGGGATCGCTATAACCTCCCCCCCTTAAAGAATTTCGTCCCCGAAATTAGATGAATAAGTTTCAAAAACATGATTTCTCAATTCTCAACAATGTTACAATTTAATATTCAACATCCTGACCCATTACCGGTCATCCCATCTCTTTTCAAGAGGCAAATTACAACATAACTCAATATGCATTATTAACATGCTTTTCTTTGAAATTCAACAATTGCAACACAAGTATTCCGCAATTGAATAACATATTCAATGTCAACAATATATTTGCATTTCCAAAACATAATTAACATATGCAACGTTAAAGTAAACTTCCATTTCCGAACCATATTCAATGGCTATAACATTTCCACAATCTAAAACATATATAATGTTTCCAGAATTCATTAACAAACAAAATTCCTAATACATGGTTAAACATTAATAAACAAGTCCGAGTATTTCTCGCGGACCTCAAACTCAAGTTCCCAAGTGGCTTCCTCTACTCCGTGATGTTTTCACAAAATTTTCACCAAGGGTATCGTCTTGCCTCGCAAGACTTGATCTCACCTATTCAAGACCCGTACCGGTCTCTCCTCATACGAGGCATTCTCATCCACCTCTAAGTCGGTCCAATCCAATACATGTGACGGATCCGGCTCGTACTTCCGAAGAATACTAACATGAAACACGTCATGCACCCCGGACAACTGCGGCGGTAAAGCTAAACGGTATGCAACCTCCCCAATCCGCTCAAGGATCTCAAAGGGACCAATAAACTGAGGGGACAACTTTCCACTCTTCTCAAACCTCATCAAACCCCGTCTAGGTGATATTTTCAGAAAGACGTGATCACCCACCTCAAACACCAAAGGCCTCCTCCTACAATCGACATAACTCTTTTGGCGATTCTGAGCTGTAACAAGCCTCCTACGGATAAGTTTAACTTTCTCCATCGTTTTCCGCACCAACTCCGGACCTAACAAAGGTGCATCACCCACCTCAGCCCAACAAACTAGAGACCTACAAGGTCGGCCATACAAGGCGTCAAACGGTGCCATGCCAATGCTCGATTGGAAACTATTGTTATAGGCAAACTCTACCAAAGGCAAGTGCCTCACCCATGACCCACTAAAATCAAGGACACAGCCTCGAAACATATCCTCAAGGATTTAAATAGTACGCTCGGACTGCCCGTCAGTCTGAGGATGATAGGCCGTGCTAAAGGTTAACCTAGTGCCCAAGGCACTCTGCCATAACCTAGCAGTAAAACGTGGGTCTCTATCTGAGACAATCAACACTGGGACTCCGTGCACTATGTCCCGAATATACAAGTCGGGAAGATGATCTATCGAATCCCGCACGCGCATAAGAATAAAGTGCGCCGCCTTAGTCAACCGGTCTACAACCACCCAAATAGCATCACTACCCCGCTGAGTCCTCGGAAGACCTACAACGAAGTCCATCCTAACATGCTCCCACTTCCACTCGGCTATAGGCAAGGGTTACAACAAACCCGTTGGCCTCTGATGTTCGGCCTTCACTTGCTGACAAGTAAGGCACTTAGACACAAACACTGCCACATCTTTCTTCATCCCCCGCCACCAAAACTAG